GGGGGGGGGTTGCCATGATGTATGCATTTAACGAGGCTCTGTATGCTATGTGTAGGTTTTTTGTTTTTTTAATCCTGTCCCAGGATAAAAGTATCCTGGATTGAGAGAAAAACATGACAGATCTTCTGAAAAATCCTGATTATCTCTGGCCTCAATACTTCACTGAAACAAGCATGTGAAGGGGAAAATCATAACTTGATCTGCACAATCAGTGATTTTAAAGTGTTGAAGCCTCTGAATCATAACGGGCAACCAACAATTTTAAGAGAAGAGTTCAGCAGTGGCAGCCTGTGTATTTGTTTGGTACAAGTTTCCCATAAGTATTTTGTAGGATGGAGATTCTGTTGCCAAATTTATCTTAGGAGCTCTTTTACATAAGACAAGTTAGAAGAGCTCCTAAGCTAAAGGAGCTCTTGTCTCTCCTCGATGATAAATCTGGGGGAATCTGATGATCTTCCTGCAGCCTGACAAGATAAAAGCTAGCAATGTACAGCTACATCAATTAAAGCCCTTTTTCCACAAGACAGTGGAACAATTGGTGCATGCTTGCACACTTCGTTTCCAACAACTTGGAAGAGAATATGAAATGCAGAAGAGGTCCAACAATCTGCAGTTCATGGTTCCTTCTAGGGAAACCTAAAACTGGCTGTACACTGAGTGAATTGTGGATGGTTCTTGAAAAATTGAGAATAAAAGCCAGGCAGAAAATGAATAGGTGAACAGAGCCTGTATCCAATCAGATGCAAGCTCTGTTCAGGTATTTTAACAGCAGGGGAGGCTTACTGTCAAAATACAATAGCTGCAGTGGGAGATAACTAAACAGAGTGGATGGAGTAATGTTAGCCCATGAGCTGAACATGAAGAAAAATCAAACAACGTATACCCAGCTTTATACAGACTGATCTTTGCTTTACAAATTGGCCACCCATTGTCTCTTCAATCGTGTGTGTGTGTGTATCTCCCGATCATATCATTGTATGGTATTTTCATGTCATTATAAGATATCCCCTTCCTTTTCAGATAATGTAATCGGACTTCCCTAGATGTCTGTGGATCTTTACGTCTGAGAAAGAGTTGGTTCAATTTATGAAGAAAACCAATATTTGTAAATTATATTACAATAAACACCTTACGTGGACATTACTTTGTCTTTAAGTCTTTGAGTTGTTTGCTTCCTTTTTACATCAGTGTAACGCACATGCGAAGTTAGTATATGTGTGGTGTTTGTAAGATGTGTTTACAAAACGCTTAAAAAAAACGTTGCTTATAGACTCCCATATTCCATTGTACTAGAATAAACAACATTTCCTTAAGGTTTCCATACAATCACTAGTTAAGAGTCCAAATCCAGCCACATTTGGTTTCTTTTAAAGTGACACTAAACTCAGGAGTTAAATCCTATGCATTCAAGTACCTTAAAGGAGAACTATGAGGTGAGTGAATTACTCATCCCCATAGTTATAGCCAAAGTGTGACATTGAAACTGTCACACGTCAGCCCTATTGATCGGGAAGTGAGCAAACACATACCGCCGATCCGCTAACTTCCCGATCATCTCCCTGCAGAGAGAGGTGACTGTCAGTCACCTCTCCCCGCATGGATTCTTGTCTCCGTTTCTCCAACGCTGACTAGAGGAACGGGCATGGCGGTGGCGGGCACAGTTGGCTGTGCTATAAGAGAGGCAGAGCCTGCTGTCAGTCAGCTGGGAAGATCTCGACAGTATTGTAGGGAATTGTCCCGGGTGTGGCGCTCTCAGCATATAGCGGGCTTCTGCTGAGTTTTGGGTCAAGGGAGGACATATATTGTGTCCTCCCGTGACCGAGGAGAACTATGGGGGTGGAAAAAAAAACTTATCTATTTTATGCCTCCACTGCCCAAGCTGACTCCTGTGATGGACTACAATCTCAATACAAGTTAGTAAACTAAACATGAGATTGTAGTCCATCGCGGGCAAGTACGATCTGCCTGTCCAAGATGGGCAGATCGTACATTTTTAAAATTACTTTATAACCCTCGCAAGACTTTTGTCTTGCGAGGGTTGGAAAGTGTATGGCCACCTTTAACTGAACAAACTGAAGAGAGAAGATGATTGGTTGCCATGCACAGGTGCTCCAGATTTTGTCTGCTCCACTTTTAATATATTCCCCCCCATAGTGATGATGGGAAAATCGCTACTGCAACGCTAATGCATTTTGACAGCGAACAAAACAAAAAAAAAACAGTTTGGTTGGTTGGTCTGACCTGGCCATACATGGATCGAAATTTGGCCGGTACCAGTCAAGTTTTGATTAATCTATGGGCTGCTTTAGTTTTTAGCTTTGTTTTTTATACTAGCTTTCACAAGTTAATTCAACAATACAATTGTTAAACAAATAACTTTATTACACACAGCAGTTGTGTATTTGAACATAAGTATTAAACAAACATAAATGCAAATTAAGTGCCAAACATAAAGATGTATGCCATTATATCAGGCCTAACACATTTAAAACCACAGTGCCAAACATAAACAAAAAGTGCATAAAATGGATTTAAAGGTTAAGTCCACCTTTAAATGTATATGTTTTTGCAGGTAAAAAAAATGCACATTTCCTTTTTTTCTTAGGAACCTGCGGACCATTGCACTGTAAGGCTCCTGCAGCCTCTCAGCATAGCTGTCTGCCCGTACCTCCGTAAGCAGGAAGAAACTAGGAAGAAACTACAAACTAAAATCTCAAAAATACAAAATGTCATTTGAGAACAGCATGACAGTGTTGTAGAACGTGAAGGTTCTTCAGAAAATACTGTACTTGAGACTCATTACTTTTGCACTGGTTTTCAGTCCAAGTTCAAGGAACAGTTTCTGAAACACTTCAAAAGTGTATTTAAGTTACTTGGGATAGCTCAGATTCAGAGCATATATTAGGCCCATCAGTAACGCACAGCATCTTGGGATATTAAAACCCTCCAGGATTTTGGTTCCCTCGACCAGAATGGTTGCTATCTTGTGGTCATATCCTGAGGTGGGCTGGTCACGGATGATGCCACTTTTCATTACTTGCATTCCAAGGTCTGCTTCAAACTCTTCCATATCCCTGTAAAAGGAAGATTAGCTTGTTAAAGATAATGAATTGTATAATTACTGCTGACTTTTTAGACTATCACTCTGACAAGTTGTTCAAATGAGACACCCTTTATTCTATTGTAAATCCTGGTATACACAATCCAAATATTCCTGCGGAACCGATGGACATTCAGCGCATGTGTACCACTGCCTGATCAACAGAAGCCGGTCTCCTGACCGGCTTTTGTCAATCGGGCATGCTGGAAAACCAGCTTCCGATCAGCACTTGCAGCCGATAAATAGCTGATTTACACTGACTTTCACAAATGGAACCCCACACACTTTTTTTTGTCTTTTGTACATGGGGTCCCTCCTTAATATTCCTACCAGACCTTAAAGTGACAAAGTAAAAAAAAAATTCCCCTCCCCCCAATGTTAATGTTAGCACTTACCTTAAATGAGGTTTCCTAATCCGATTTTCCTCTTCTTTCCTGATGTTTTCATCTGTCTCTCCAGCGGTGCGGCGACTCTCTGATCCAGTGCTGACTCCTCTCTACTTGCAGGCACTTCTGATCCCACGGTGTCTGCATGCGGGTGCACGCGTCCATAGACTTACCTTGCGTCTCTGCTCGTCTCCCGGGCGAGAATCCGTACTGCGCATGCGCCCACCCCAAGATGCTTTGCGGCCGCCCAAGCAGTTTCTGATTCTCGGGTGGGAGAGTGCCGTGAAAACAAGGCAAGTTTAAACTGCTGTTAAAGCGTTTTAAAAAAACTAAACTTTTTGCCTATATCTACTGCTTGCTGGCAGTAGATATAGGAAAAAAAATGGAGGGTTTAGAACCTGAAATGTCAGTTTTGCTGCAGCAGGTTCTATACATCCTACAGATCCGCCACTTCGCAGGCAGGTTAGGGGGACCCCCCAGGCACTTTTCGGCCGTTCGAATACGAACTGAACATGGGGGTGTTCGGCTCATCACCAGTTTACAACTGCTAGCAGTGTAACCATGCTGGAGATGGTCCTCTCATTGCCGGGGGCGATAGATCCCCTGCAGTTAAGTGAGAAAGCTCAAGGATTCCCTGGCGGTTCAATCTAAATATGTGCTCCATGCCGGAGATGGGA